TATATTTTTTAAATTAATATTTATTAAATAACAATGCAATTTTTAATTTTTTAAAAAATTTTTCCAAAAAATTTTGGATATTACTGCAAGTATTGAATTAATATATTAAAAATCCTATTAATAAATAATAATAAAAATTTACATATTAAGTATGGTTCTAAAAATTAAAATTAAACAAAATTATATAGAATCATATAGAATTGTAAATTTAATATAAATTTGAAAATTTAAAATTGAATCAAATTAAATTGTTAAAATTTTTATACAAAAATATATCTTTTGATTAATATTAATTATCAAATCTAAAAACTATATTAATTAAGTAGGATATAACTTTAGAATTTTTTAATAAATACTTTAATTAGTTTAAGATATTAAATTTAAAGATACAAATATTAAACAAAATATAACTTCTATATACAGTATTAAAACTATTAAAAAGTTTTTTTACTAATTTATATATTAGTATCTATATTATATTATTTTTTAAAAAATGATTTGTAACATATTGATATATTATATAATAAAGTTTGTTATATTAAAAAAAATATAAACTTATAATAAAAATTAAATTAAAAATTTTTTCTTATATAATTTTTTTTGTTTTATTTTGTTTTTTAATTTATAATTATTAAAAAAATCAAAGGTTTTATTTTTATACAACTTAATTAAATTTAAATAAAAGTTAAATATTTGAATATAATATATATAAAAACATTAATAAATTTAATATAAAAAATAATTTTTATATATTTGTTTCCTATAGGTATTAAACTAGATATATATATTTGAAAATCTGGAAATATTATTTATTGTGCTATTGATTTACAGATCATTTATATTAATTAATTAATATCTTTTTGCAATAGATAAAAGATTTAAAATTAAAATTTATTATTTTTTTTAATTATAATATAATAAATAGATTTAAAAATTTTTTAAAAAACTTGAATTAATGTAAAAAATTGATTTTAATTTAGAATAATGTTTTAATTAATACTAATACATATTTTAATGAAATTTTCGTTTTAAAAGAATATAATAATAAACTAGTTTATCTACCAAATATGGAAATAAAATAATTACGAAGCAATTTTATTATAGGTTCAATTAATATGCAGAACCTTTGATTATCCAAAAGTAACACTATAGAGGTTATTTTGATCCAGAAATAAACAGGTACCATGTACGTATAACAAGGTCACCAATGCAGGAGGTGTTAACGTTACGAATTACCATTTTTTAAACATGTATAGATTGTTTTTACGATTTCACAAATATTTCCCCATGTTTCAATCCTAGGAAATGCCTTGTTTTGTCATGACAAAGATTTTCATATAATACTATTAGGATTATTGGTTTCTTTTTGTCGCATATGATGTGTCTATATCGCAATTTTTTTTTTTTATAAATACTTTCGAATGTTCAATTCTAAGACCAAAACTGCTGGTGTTTAGTTTTGAATTTTCTCTTTGTTGATCAAAGAAAAATATCTTATCGCTGTTGCTGGATCACTGCACCTCATTTTCTTTCGTAAAAAAAAAAAAAAACGTTTTCCACCTCAAAACATACTGATTTTCATGATGAGTATGAAAACAAAAATTTCACGGACAAACGAATTTATGTTTTTCATTTTTGCTTTTGCATTTCTCTTTTCCGCGATTGTTGCCATACCCATTTCCACCAGTGTGACAGCACAGGATTCGACGACACCAACTGTTTCTTCTGTACCTTCCTCTTCCGAAATAACGAATTCCCCAACACCTTCTGGTACGACAATAACGAATTCCCCAATACCTTCTGGTACGACAATAACGAATTCTTCAAAAACTCAAATTTCGTCAACATTATCGTCCATCAATGCTCCAAATTCATCTATATCTTCCAAATCATTTACTTCTTCTTTGACTTCTGCGGATTCTTCTACAGATTCTCTTACAGATTCTCCTACAATTTCATCTTCTGTTAACACTAGGATATTGACATCTACTCGCAAATCTCAACCAAAACCGTAAGTGTTACGAAATATTAATATAAAATACATAAACAGTGGAATTTTTAATGTGAACTAAAAAATTTTTTCTCCAGATCGAGAAGTTTAGGAGATGGGAGTTCGATCACGAGTACATCTGATACGCTCTCAACTATTACCCAAGTAGAAACCGACACACCTTCACCTACGGGTACTACTTCAACCAAAACTTCTTCGGCGACTACTACAAAATTCACTACAGTTCTTTCAACCCAGACTTCTGTTAAATCAGGATTTACAACACAAATGACAACCACAGATGCTAATGGCGAAGAAACTGTAGTTTCTACTGTGATACCACCATCAACCGTTGTGGTAGTAAAATCTGTTGTTTCAGCTGTGCCTGATAACAACGTTGCTGCCTCACCAAATTCAGGTATTACTCTGAGGCATCAAGGCACGGGTATTGGTTTCGGTCTTGTGATAGGCCTTATATATGTGTTAATATAAAACCATAAACAAATAGACTAATGTGTGTTGGGAAAAAAGGTAGAAATGAGTTATATTTTACAAAGCATTGTATCCATGAACTTGATGCATCCAATTTGTACAAAAACAACTTATCATGTTCGTATGGTCTGAATAAGACTATAGAAAAAAAAGATAGCAATAAAAACATTTGTTAAAAATTTTCATGTTTCCAGCCCAAGTGACTCTTAATTTAAAGACAACAACCGTACTATTCATCAGAATTCGTTTTTGTTTTAGGAACAGAATTAATGACGATGATCAATAGATACAAGTCATTTTAAAATGTAATGTCACACCTTCCTATTCACAGATAACCTACGCCTCAATGACAACATCAAAGTTTTCAGCAAACTCTTCCACTTCAAAAACCTTTATCAGACTTTATAATTGATCCAGAATCATAACATTGACAAAAACCTTTAACAATAACTTATACTAAAATACCTCACCACTCAAAAGCTTATAATTATCTTCACACTTGGTTTCCAAAGAGACAAACCAATAGAATTTATTAAGGCTATCACAAATGAAAAAAGTATGCTTTGTTCTAAAAAAAAAGCAACTATAAATAACTCTTCAAATAAAATAAACAATATTTTAATTATCTCCAGTTAATTTTCAAACATTATTTATAATAAAACTTGTATTGTTTCTATAAAATCAATTAGCAATTACATTTTAACATTTTTATCCAAAATAAGCTCTAATATAATCTGGTACAAAAGTCTTTAAATTGATATTTGTTATGATTGTAATATAACTATTACATTATACAGTATTATGAAATTTTATTTATTTATTTTATTTTTATTTTTATTTTAAATATCAGTTGAAACTTGTTTTATTAATGTTTGATATTTATATATATTATCTAAATATGTTACACAGTAAACCTGGATATAACAAAGGGGTTCGGTTTTCACTTTTTTCTTCATTATAGCAGGTTTTCATTATATTCAGGTAATTTTATTAGAAAAATTTTAAAATTTTTTAAAAAATACTTCATTATATCCAAGTATTTATTATATCCAGACTTTATTATATCCAGGTTTACTGTATGTATAGAATTTAATATTTGAAAATAAAGCTATACTTAAGTTTAATTTATATTATTTAAACATAACTTGTTTTTATTAGTTTATTCAAAAACAAAAACTTGAGCTAACATATTAAGGCTTTAAATTTTTTTTCCAACTAGTTGGGCCATGCCTATACATCTATTTATTTAATTCACATATGCTTTACATTATGTGTTACAGGATGAAGCTACCTATGAGTTATTCTAGAAATTACTAGATTATATCAGATTTTACCTCCATATCGGCTTGTTGTTATTGACTGTACATCCGAAAATCTATATGTATTAAGATCAATATGCTAAAGTTTCATCAGTACCATTATTATATATGAAAGGTTCTATTTTTAACTAGAGATGTGTTAAGAGGAAATGTGAAGAAGGAAACTGGGAGTAGTACCTATTAGGCGAATAGAACCCCTGCAGAAAAAATTCTTCTAAACCCAACCACCTGCAGCTGAGCATATCATTTAATTTTTACCTTTCTAGAGCTATCCAAGAATATTTAAGGAACTTATCTTATAGACTTACTGCCTATAAATTATTTCAGTTATTAGTACTTACTGCTGTTTTGGCTGCCTTCCCAGGATAAGTAACTGTCAGAGTGATCTATTACTGGATTGGAATAAGGCCTTTCTGGAAACTTGTAGAAAGAGACACCAAATACCACGAGGAAATAATCATCAAGTCAACTTACCGAAAGCAGATATCTCATATACCTTGCAACTTTTGATGATTATTGTAACACTAACTGGATGATCCTTGCATTATGACACCTTTTTTAGAAATCACAATCTCAACATCCACTAGATTAACATATAAAATGGCTTCTCATAGAAAATAGCACTTTTACAGGTTATGATATCAGATACCATATTGGTTCTATTTAACCACCCTTATATAGGATTAAACTGGTATTTTGTGATTTGATCTGTGAAATATTAACTACTCACTATTGACCCACAGGTCTATTAAGATTTTAAATTAATTTTGTTAACTTATATAAAAACTATATAAAAGAATGTTTTAAAAAAAAAGAAAAAAACTCTTTTTGATTGTATTTACTTTGTTAAAAAATTTTTTTTTATAATAATTTTTGTTAAGAAAAATGTTTTATACTCTTTATCACAAGTAAGTTCTAGTTTAAGAACTCAAAAACCTTCAAAACAACTAATACAATAAAATAGAATCTTTGATTAAAGTTTATTCGAATTTGGAAGTTTTGTTTATCTTTTGGTTATATAAGAAAAAACTCATGGCAGTTCTTTTTTCTTTTGTTTTCTTATACCTTTTCTTTTTGTTATTATAATATAAAAATCTTCTATATCAATACTATCCTATATGCTAAATCAAATATTTTTCAAAAATATACTTAAATAGAATTATTAAATTCATTGTTTGTTTTAATATAATCTTTATATATAACTTTATTATGATAGTATTTTATCAAAAAAATTTTTAGACAAAGATCTTTAAAGATCTTTGGGTATAAACCTTTAGAGGATTTCTGTTATTATTAAAAGACTCCAGAATAAAAATTTATATATTAATTTCTAGAGATCTTCAATATATTTTAATAGTAATAAAATATGGTTATATTTATATATTATAATTAAATTATAATTAAATAATATTTAATTTAAAAGATTTAATTGACTTATAAGATTATTTTTATTATTGTATAATTTTTTAATTATAATTTGTTATTATTACATAATTTTTTTATATTTTTTTATATTTTTTTTAAGTCTTTTTCATTATTGAAGTCTTTTTTTCTAATTTTCTATTTTCCAATAGTTATTTTAGATATTTTCGGTATTTTTATAGACCTTTAGAAATTCTTTTAAATTAATAATTATTGAATCAATCATTTCTTCATCTTCACTATTTAAATTTTTTTCTTCAAATTCAAGTTCTTTTTTAATTTATTCTTAAAATTATTATTAGCAATAATACTAATCAAAATTGATTTATTTGGCATAATACCATTCATTAATTATTTGTCAAAAAAGTATATTATTCAACTAATCAATCAAATTTATATAACCTTTATCTTCAGTTATAAAGTGACATATAATTTATTTAATATATAAATAGTATATTTTTTTTAAAACTTCATTTAATATTTTAATAGTAAAATGAATAATTTATTTTTTGCACTAAATATATATATATATTTTGACTTTGTTGAATTATATTATTTTAATGAATTATATTGCTTTAATAAATTATATTACCTTGTTAAATTTATATATATTTTTGTTGAATTATATTACCTTGCCAAATTATATATATTTTGATGAAATTTTATATATTATATTTGTGATTTAAAGAAATAATAGCTAAATATTTACAAGAATCTTATCAATTTAAAATCTTATATTTAAATGAAATAAATTGACTAAAAATATTGTAAATAGGAATTATATATTCATATCTAATTGAATAAATTCAATATTTTATAGTTCCACATATATAGTATTTTTGGATCCAAAATAGAATCTAATATTTGTCAAATTAACAGGTTTGAACTATTAAATAAAAATCAAATTGTGTTTTGCTATATTATTTGATAAGTTAACCAAATAAGTAAAGAAAAATTGAATTTGTTCTGAATATAAATTGACACTTTCATTATAATTCACAAATCAGACTAAAACTAATAACTTTTTATATTTTATGGTAACATAACAGAATCAAATATTTCACTTCCAATTCAATATCTTTCATATTGATTGGCTCTATTTTAAATTATTATTAATATTTTTAATAAATGACTTTCAAAAGTTTATAGTTTTATAAGAAGCCTCATAATATTCAACTAATAAATCCAAGATTTCAAAAGAAACAATTAAATTTAATTTTTTAGGATGCAATAGTTTATTAGAAAATTATTTAGATTTATTAATAATTATTTCTTAAATATATTATATGTGTTGTTTAAGAATTAGTATAGTTTGTTTATCAAAAATTAATCCAATTTTGAAATTGATCTGATATTTGATCAATTATTTAAGATTTTGAGTCTTATACAGTTTGATGCAAAAAAACCTAGAATTTTTATTAATAAATTAATATAAAACTATTTAAATATTATAAAACTTTATAAATTTGTTTTTAAGATACAAATAAGAAAAACCATATAATTATTTATTAAATTTTCATATTAACTTTGATATTCTTTTTAAATATAAAACCAATATTACTTTAAAAAAAGTAACAAAAAAAACCAATGTACTATTGTAATTTTTAAAAAATTATTATTATAAATTTTATCTAATTAATAAATAAAATAATTTTATATAAATATATTTAGAATGTTAAAGAATAAAAAAAAATTTTTTTTTAGACCTATGGATTCATAGTGTAGTGGTTAATACTTCATTAGTCAGATTACAAGATACCAGTTCAACTCCAGGCGAAGGTGGTTGAATCAAATTAAAAATGATATCTGGAGCCATAACCTACTAAGCTCTGTTTTTTATAGGAAGTCATTCGTACACTGATCCAGTGGAATATTGGGATTGTGATCTCCAAAAAAAGTGCAAAGTGGGATGATTGTCTGGAAGCAGTATAATGATCATCCAACAAAAGCTTGAACCAACCACACATTTGGATGCACAAATTGGATTATGCTCTATCTTAAACAACCCAAGTAATATTCCTTATTCTACTTACTTCTGAATAAGGCAACTTTGAAGAAGCATGCTGAACTGATACTAATGTCTTGTGCGATATGGACTCCTGATGGCTTATCGTGTTTGTAGAAGTTGCGTACTGCTTGGCATTTGTGCTCCTAGATTTGGCAGCTTATGCCAACCAGTCTTTTTGGATATGTCTACTAGGAGACAGAGACCTTGGAAGCGGAGTGGTCAAAAGCTATCTATCTGGCCTATATGGTCCC